TGTGAGAGAGATCGGTTGCCTCCCATACAAGACCAGGTATTGAATCTGCCACCTGTGTATGTGCCCTGACTGGGAGTCGAACTTCCCATCTTCTGGCGTACAGAATGATGCTCCAACCAACTGATCCACACCAGCCAGGGCTATTACATAATTACTTAAAATTATTACTACATAATTATTTTCCCTTGCAATTGCCAATTGGCACAAGCAATCTATGGAGAAGATACATTAATACTATGCATATATCCTGTTCATCAAAATTTCCCCTTAGATACACCATCCATTGATGTTTCTTGCCAGAATCTTTATTGTGATAGCTGCAAAGTAGTGATTTTCCAGCACCATTTTTACCAGTTTGCATCTGGCACTCTGCTGTAAGCAAGGGCCCTTTGTCCCCCCTTATTTACTTATTTCTAATTATCAGTGTTAACTCATGCACTACTTACCCCCCAAGGGTTTAATAATTTATTACTGCCTTAATTGTTTTGGTGCTCAAATTGTCCTAGATTTGGTCAGTAAGGGCTAGTTCAAACTGGCTCCTTTGCCTTTGTGACCTTTCATCATTTTTCATCATTTTTTTAGTACTACCTTATTTTCTGGAACAAGATGTTTCAGGCTCTTATTGCAACTGCCTTCACTCAGACCTGGAATCAGCCATTTCTCTGAGGAACCCTGGTTCCTTTTAGTGGAGAATGGTATAAAAAATCAAGGTCTGAGCTCATTGTAACTCAGATGTTTGCTTCTAGCCCCTTTCAGTGGACAGAACTAGGAAATATAAGTATGTACTGTATATACATCTAACATACAAATATGTGTGCACTTTTGCCATGTTACGTGTAAAAGGGATGACTGTGGCTGACATCATATTATGTTCTTGTGATCTTTGCTCATCTGCTAAGTTGCTTGTGTATAATAGTTCTTGATCACATATGTCCCATTTAATTACTTTGGTTAGCAAAATTGTGATTAAAATGAGTGGTTGAAAGACCCTTTTGGAACAATAATGGCAATAAAACTTTGCAGGAAAGAGTTAACATAGCAAGCCTGAGATTGCTATCTTTAGAAAGGCCTGACAAGGTTGGCCCTTGGTTGGCATCTAAGAACTTTGACTCTGATGGTTGTCTCCATTCCCAGAACTGATAAGAGTGGTTATTGTGCCTGAACTGTTTGTATAATGTGGTTTATGCTAAACACCTGCTTTCCTTCTGGAAGTCTGGAGTTTGGGTACATGTTAGAGAGAAGGTGCCTATGGGACCAGCACCCAGTAAAAAAATGGATGAGCACAGGTGACCTATTTTGGTGCATAAAATTGTGAAGTGAATCATGTCAGTGGACCCTCAAGATCAGTCCTATCGTCCTAGCAATGGTGAAAGCAATGTTTGCGATGGTGGCTGCTTCACCAGCTTGGGTCCGAGTGACCGTGATCACAAGAATCTTTCTGCCAGTCCACAATGAATAGGTCAAAGCATCATCGAGCTGGTGTTCCGGTGAGAACCAAGGCAGACGACATTGCAGTGGTTTGCTGACTTAATAATCTATTTAAGTGATGGGGAAAATCTGGGAGATTTTTCTCAATTTTTTTTTTTTAATTTTTAAAATTTACTTTATTATTTATTTTATTAAGAGAGAGTGACACATCAACTTTTTGTTCCATTTATTTCTGCATTCATTGGTTGATCCTTGTATGTGCCCTGACCCGTGATTGAACCTGCAACCTTGGCGTATGGGGACGATGCTCTAACCAACTGAGCTACCTGGCTAGGGCACTTTCTCTAATTTTACTTCAGAGGTAAAACTCACGCACACCACCTTCTCTTTCTCACATGTTTATCTCCTCTTAGGACTCCTACTACTTTAGGATATCTGGGTGCTGATGTGGCCAAACTCCCCCACCATCAGATAAACCTCAGAGGACTTCCCTATCCTACTTTCAGTTGTCTATTGCAGATGACAGAATGGGACTGAAACTGAGTTGCTACATATACATAGCTCTAAATGTGAAGGAGATGGAATGAAGGACTTAGAAACTAAAAGAGGGGCTAGAATCAGCTCCCTTGTGCTTTTCTGGAGGGCATGATGGAACTTTGTTTAAATGTTTATGTATACATGAAGCTCTTTGACATGAGATCCATGGAAATAAAGAGCCAAGTTGTTCAATCCTTTTGGGTTGCCATAAATCTGAGGGAAACAACAACTCCTGAAGGGACAAATGAGTACAGTAATTCACGTTCACATTATCTGTTTTCTCTGCCCTCGTTCTGTAGTACTCAGTAAGTTCAGTCTCTATCCCTTGACTGGGTAGATTCTCAGATAGCTGTTTTTTGTTTTTCTGCTCAGAACATTTTCTCTTCTCCCCTTCTTATCTACCCTTCTCAGAGTACCCAATTCTCTTGGCCATAGTAATTGGTTCAGGGATGGGTATGAGATCCAAGTCGCTCAATTGGGACCCATCCTGCAACTTTTAATGGCACTGTGTGGGCAATGAAATATGCTTTTCTCTGCAATCAACAGCTGTCAGGACAACTCAAGTTAAAAAACTGCCAATGACCATCTCTGCTATTATGCCTACCTGACAATAAAACCAATCTGAAGGAAAAGAGCTAAGACAGCAAGAGAATGATCTCATGAATCTTTTGAACACCTGAATGCAGTCATATCTGAAGCCACATCTACCTTTGCTCTCTAATCATGGTAATCTTTTTGTTTAAGCTTGCCTGAAATGGGCCTTCACAAATTCAGAGTCCTGGATAACCCAGTAAGTTTAAGTCACTACAACATGAGATGCATGCATCATAAGATTGGAAGTTGAGTCATAAAATAATGTTTTTGGTAAGGCAAAAGTAACATTTAAGATAGTGCCTGCTCTGTATCACCTTGGAAGTGTGACTATTGATGAGCAGACTCCTTGCCAACCCACAGTGGGACAGGTAGCACAAGTTAGCATTAAGAATTAGCACTCAGGCGAACAGTATATACTTTCTGTACACATACCAGAGCATGACACTGAAGAGTAGAAAATTATCATCATCATATAATTCTGCAACATGCTTTACAAAGCATTTTCATGTCATCTCATGTAATACTACAGAAACCCTGTTGTGTCAATGTTGTATTTCCTTAGGTTTTGGCCTTCTATCAGTGTGTCATTGGTCATTAGGAAACCAATGCTTGAGGAAGATGGAGGGGAGATTGAATACATTTACTTATGCTGAAGTTTGCTATTCAGTTACAGTGGACATATTTGTTTTACCTGCCCAGCATCCCTGGATTTCTTTTAGGGAAGCATCTGTTCCTCACTGCAGTGTAAGTTGTTTGAGTGGGATGAACTTCACCCTCCCCTACTCCAGGGTTTTATATGGAGTCAGGCCCGGTCAATGACAGAACTCTTAGTTCAGCCTGGCCAGGCATGGCTCAGTGGTTGAGCATTGACCTAGGGTCCAGGAGATTGCAGTTTGATTCCTGGTCAGGGCACATGCTCGGGTTGCAGGCTCGATCCCCAGGGGGAACCTGCAGGAGGCAGCCGATTAATGACTCTCATCATTGATGTTTCTCTCTCTCCCTCTCACTTCCTCTGTTTGAAGTTAATAAAGATATATTTTTTAAAAAGCCAAAAAACTCATAGTTCAGTGATCAGCATGACTCAAGCAAAGCTGAGAAGGAGCCTTGGGGATTTTGCTGGAGCTCTTTAGAAAGAGGTATTCTCTTTGAGACTGCAAATGCTAAGAACCACACTAACCTGCAATTGCCAGTAGACAGATTTATCATCACTGGAGGAGACTGATAAAAATATAGCTAATATAGAGGAAACCAGAGCAGAGATGTAGGTAAAAAGTCCTCAATCTAGCAATGCCCGAGTGTCTGGTTTCACCCCTTAGGTTCCTCAGATGTGTAAACTTTTCTGACACGAAGATGTGTTATGGGTGAACTGGTGGGAGTGGGATATGAACATCTTTTGTACAGTCAACTCAATCTAAGGGCAGAGTATCTGGCTTATGGATGAAGAAAGGTTAAAAAAAAAACACACAGAGGTTACATTGTGGAAAATGTAAAGAGCAATTCAGTGAAAAAATTTAATTTTTTGAGGACATTAATTGGAACTACATGGTAATCCATGGATGTCACATTATACATATCACCACAGGAGAATACCTTTTTGCCTTGCCACTAATACCTATGGTGAAGGACAGCTCATTTGGCTCTGGATCCCCAGACTGTCCAGTTGGGGCCTAGAAAAGAATTAGGTAGGGAAAGAGATAAAACAGGGACAAGGAGCTTCCAACTTAAGTCCTGTTGTAATATTTCCTCTGAGAAAATAAAACAATTTTAATAGATAAATGAACTAGTTAATTCCAACAATTTGAATGTTTGGTATTCTTACACCGCCATCTTTATACTTTTGTGTGATATTACATTGTCTTCCTAAAAGCCAGATATAATTTAAAATTTACACTAAATCAGTTTTTTACCCTATCTTGCCTAGTTTTTTTTTAAAAAATATTTTTATTTATTTCAGAGAAAGGGAGAGGGATAGAAACATCAATGATGAGAGTCATTGATTGGCTGCCTCCTGCACACCTCCTGCTGGGGATCAAGCCTGAAACCCAGGCATGTGCCCTGAATGGGAATTGAACCTCAATCTCCTGGATCATAGGTTGATGCTCAACTGCTGAACCATGCTGGCCAGGCTTGCCTAGTTTTAACTGTATGTTTTATATGAAGTTCATTTTTCTCTCCCTTCCCCCCACCCATTTACTCTTGCTTAGTGAGTGGCGCATGTACTTGACTGGACTCTTTGACAGAAACATCCTTCCTCTATCCTTCTTGTAGATACACGGGCTGTGGAGAGTATTCTCCAATTCCTGTCTCCAGTTGTGAAGCCCAGATGAATAATTAGAAATGTGACTGGTTTCCTGAATGATATGGGTATACTTTATGGTTGGTCTTTCTTTATCTCTTAAAATATGCTTAAATTAGGAGAATTTAAAAGCAATTTACAAAAGTTTCTGACAATAAATATATAAACATCTTTATTGACAGTGGGCCAATAAGAGCAGTCAAATTTAGTTTATGAGTAATCAAAAACGTATGAAAGGCAGACTGCTAAAACTTCCAAGATTCATGTCAAGGTACACACACACACAGTTGGATTGACCACCAGGTATAAAAAGAAATACTGAAATGCAAAGAGCCAGAGTTCTCAGTAAAAAACAGAGCAAATCCTTTAATGCCACTTAAACTGCAATTAGATTACGAACTTGAGTCTCTGGAACTATCAGATAGCTCCTGGTTAAGTGGTACTCAGAAGAAGAAGAAAAAAAAGCAGATTCCTTAAGGTCTGAAGGAGTGTAGGGTACAGCACCAGCTAGAAGCAAGAGTAGAAAGTGAAGCACCTTCGCTATCATGTTTCTTATCAGGATGCTTAGTTCTTAATCAGTAAATAAAAGGGATGGGGGATAGTTACTCTTAATTTCTACTGATGGATGCTTAGCTACTTGCTTTAGACTGAATGTGTGCCCCCCAAAGTTGAAACCTAATTCCAATGTGATGGTATTAGGAGGTGGGGCCGTTAAAAGGTGATTAGGTTTTGATGGCAGAACTCTCAGGGATGGGTCAGTACCCTTATAAAACAAGACCCAGGCCTCAAGCCTCCCCTTGCTCTTTCACATAAGACACTGAATCTGATCTTGGACTTCCTAGTCTCCAGAACTGTGATACTGTTGAATATTTATGTAAGTCACTCAGTCTATATTTTGTTATAGCAGCCCAAATGGACTAAGACATCACTTCATTAAAATATGTGTGTATACACACATGAAGGGGGGGGGGAGGAGAGAGATTCTACATAACTTACTGTTCCAGGTCCTTTTCAAGGTCACATAGTTGCTAAGCAGAGGTAACAGAATTAAAATCCAGCTTTGAAAAGCTCATGATTTTGTCAAATTTTGGGCTCCAAATGATGCATTTATTTTTCACTCAAGCATTTGGCATGTTGAGAAATATCAAGTATTTTAGGCTTTCCAGAGATATACACTCTCTGCTGCAACTACTCAACTCTGCCATTATAATATACAACAGCCAAACACAACATGTAAATTGATGAGTGTGGCTGAATTCCAATTAAACATTATTTACAAAAAAAGGAGTAGATGCACTTGGTCTATGGGTCCAGGCCACAACTTGTCAACTCCTGCTTTAGACCAATATCGAATATTAAGGTGATGAAAGGGTTGAGATCCCTTTCATTTTGTTCATCAGCCATTTTCCTAACCTGGTGTCTAAGACCTTGAGTCTTCCCAACCATCTAGACCCCTTTCAATGTTTTAAATTCTTTACAAAACCTTTCCCCAACCCTTTCAGCCCCATTTCTTTCATATTGTTTGATTTCCATCATTGCTGGATTTATGCTCGATCCATCCCTAATGACCTTGCTCTACCACCACTTTTTAAAACTCTATTCTCCTATTGTTCTTCAATAATAGAACTAAAATTTACAGAGAGGGAATTGTAAGTCATAGGGGCAATTTGGAGGGGGCAAAACATGGACTGGTGGTGTTCAATGTTCATAAAAAATTTTAGAAGGGGAGAAATCTATAACTACTTTTCTTTACTTGTTCTACAGAGTGTAATAGATTACTTGCAATAGAGTGACCCCCCCTCCTGATGTTTGTACAGTGTTTAGCTAAATATTTATTTGAATGTTCCCCTGTGTTCCCAATCCCAATACCGGTCTTTGGTCACCCATGTAAGTATGTCAATATATCATGTGGTTTCATGCCTTTTCGATCTTCTTTAGGGCTCTGGGATATAGCAAATACTAACCATGATAGAGAGAACAAGAACAAAAAAAATGTGGGTAAAAATGAAGGTCAGAGAAATGGCCAACTTGTTCATAGAGGGAAGCTGTTTCTCCTCAAGTGAGTCACTGTCCTGTGAGTTATTTTCCATATGTGACATGAAAGTATGTCCTTGTGTCTCACAGGTGCTTCAGTTATTTTTCTTGACTGGGATCCTAAATATAACACACTGAATCCATCACCTTTTCGGACCCTCAACATCCCAGTGGCTTTTTTTCAAAGTGACAAAGCATAGTTTACATAAAGCAGAATAATATAAAGAAATGAAATCTAATCCTGTAATTATAGAAAACCAAGGATTCATTCAATAAATGCCAAGGATAAGAAAAGAGGGACTTGATAAAAAAGTAGAGTTAAGAATTTGACCCATACTACTTCAGGGTAACTTTCAAGGAAGTAGAAAATGAAGTTCTATACAGCCGAAGGACCAACTGTCTAAACCTATGACCAGTATAATCCATGTGAACATAACTCAGAACCTGCTGTAAATACATTCTCTTTATGTTCATCAAATTGGAAAGTAGTCTTCAAGGGGAGGGAGGGAATACAAAGCATATTACAACTCTTAACCTTTAACTTTTTGTAGTTAATATAAAATAAATGACACTGGAGAAATGACACCATCTGTAAATCTTGACTTCTATTTTGGATTCAAAGAGGAACAACTGTGTCTTCCTGATGATAAGGATATGAACCCTCTGCTTAACCTAACAAATAAGAACTTCCTTACAAAGTGAAAATCTATAACAGGGCTATGATGTGAAAAAGAGAAACTGGATCCCCCAATGATTATACTGCTACCCATTCGTAAGGATTTCTTGAATATCCATAAAAGGATAGGATATTAGGGAGGGGTTAGGGATCAAAATCAAATCTCTGGCTAGGAGCTTTCATAATTATCAAATCAATGTATACGAGGAACATTTTGTTTATGGCTCAAAAATCTGTACTATGAAAGTAAAATTAGATGCATACAAAATTGGTTTGTAAGCAGCATTTTAAGGGTCTTCCATTTAAACACTCTTGGATTTAATGCAGTGGTAAAACCAACTTACATTTAATTCACATTTAGTAATTTTTCAAGGTTGCTCTTCTGTATGAACTCTTTGATGTCTGATGAGGGATGAACTGCACTTAAAGCTTTTCCCACATTCATTACATCTATAGGGTTTCTCTCCAGTATGAGTTCTCTGGTGTTGAATAAGAGCTGATGAATGAATAAAAGCTTTTCCACATTCATTACACTTGTATGGTTTCTTCCCAATATGAATTCTTTGATGTTTAGCAAAATTTGAACTCCGGCTGAAGGTTTTCCCACATTCGTTACACTCATACGGTTTCTCTCCAGTATGAATTCGTTGATGCTGAACAAGATGTGTGCTCTGACTAAAGGTTTTTCCACATTCACTACATTCATATGGCTTTTCTCCAGTATGAACTCTCTGATGTTTAGTAAGGGATGAGCAATGGCTAAAAGCTTTCCCACATTCCTGACATTTATAGGGTTTCTCTCCAGTATGAGTTCTTTGATGTTTGATGAGTGCTGAGGAATGAATGAAAGCTTTATCACATTCATTACATTCATAAGGCTTCACTCCAGTATGAATCGACTGATGCTGTACAAGATGTGTACTTCGATTAAATCCTTTCCCACATTCACTGCATTCATAAGGTCTCTCTCCAATGTGAATTCTCTGATGTATTGCAAGGGAGGAGCTTTCTGTAAAGGCTTTCTTGCATTCACTACACTCAAAGAGAATTCTAGTATGAGTTCTCTGGTGTTTAGTTAAATTAGCTCTATGGCTAAAAGATTTCCCACATTCATTGCAGGTATAGGGTTTCTCTCCGGTATGGACTCTCTGGTGTCGAATAAGCACTGAGTGGTAAGTGAAGAGTTCACCACAATCATTACATTTGTGAGGTTTTTTCTCTTTATAGGTTCTCTGCTTTTTCCTTAAGTTTGATTTCTGTTTCAATCTTTTTTCAAGTGTATGAAAGGCATAGGATCCTTTTGGAACTCTGTCTTGAGTGAGGACAGACTTTGGACTAAAGTTTTCCCAGTATACATCATGCTCATGAGCTCTTTCTTCAGGATGTGAATTCATGTAAGTAAACATTTCTCTCAAGTGTCTCCCTTGTTTTCCCTGCTGATTCTCTAACAAATTTTCACATTCAAGAGTTGTTTCCAAGCTGGTATCATAGACACTATTCCCTGTCAGTCTGTCTATTATTGCAACCTGGCATGATTCTTCTTTGGAAAAATCTTGCACTGAAGTTGAATCTTTGCTCTCAGGTCTACTCTCTGAGTCTGAAAAAAATTGGAAATGCAAATTTCCTTCATTTTCTGTGCTCAACAAAAAGGCAGTTCTGTAACAGGTAAAAGTTAATGAAGGCAAAAAGCATGCCTTCAATAAGTAAGTGGATTTGACTCATGAGATGATTCACAAAGAGAGGCAAATGGAGGGACATGCAGAGTGTATGCAAAGAAAATAAATAGGTCATATCCAGGAGAGTCAATGGGAGAAAGATGACCAGAAATAAAGAAGGGATGCAGATGAAGCAATATATCACTGGGTGCACAGGAAATGAGCATACTAAAATCAGAAAATGAGCATACAAAAATACTACTGTAATAATAAATATCCAGGCAGTTATCACCTTAGTGTTGAGGACAGTTATACCTTTTAAATTTTCAGTCATCGAATCCCACTCATATCCAAATATGCATTCCATTTCCAGTTTAATCTTCCCTAATGATGCTTTTCTAATACACTCTGATCAAAGAGCTCCTATGAGCTCCCAAAGATATAATGGCAAACATGTGAAAATTATACATGCACAAGATTATTCATTACCACAGTAACTGAGGTAGCAAAAACTTGGTAACATATCAAATATCCTACTATAGAGAACTGATTAAATAAATGATGGTGTGTACATACAATGGAGTACCATGGAACTTTTAAAAAATAAAGATCTCTACATATTGCCATAAAGTGACCTTCAGGATATATTAAATACCCCAGCAAACCATGAATTAGTGTGTATACTCTGCTACTTTCTGTGTAGGGAAAAAAGGGGAGATACAAATATATAGACATATTTGGTTATATTTTCCAAAACCAAGGACAGATCAATAAAATACTAATAAAAATGGTTACCTACATGGAAAGTAACAAAACAGAGGAGGGCACGGATGGAAGCTGGACTTCTCTAAATATACCTAATATAAATATATTAGAATTTTTATATCCAATATAAAACTATAAAGCTAAAACAATTTAAAGACTGTGGTTTAAAGAATAGAGCAATAGAACAGAACAGCAAATTCAGAAATTAACTCAAGTATATATAGGAAATGAGACTATAAAGGTGTTATTTTATTTTAGTCAATGAACTATAGACAATTTGTTTTTCCAACAAATGGTGCTATGACTGATTAAACATTTAGAAAAAAATTAAGTTAGACCTGTCCCTTATTCCATATAGCCAAATGAATTCTATTCACTCATCTCTCTACTCTTCTACCCATTTATTCAACAATTATCAATTGAATATCTACCATACACTAGGCACTGGGGAAAAAACACAGTCCCTATACATAAGAGAGAATTTAGTCTAACATTCACAAATACATATAAAATTGTACCTATAGTAAGTATTACGTAATAAAAGGCAAGTGATGCTATGAAAGAATATAAGGGAATCTAGGGGTTCAGGGAAGACTTCCCTGAGGAAGTAAAACACAGCTGAAATGAAAGTGGGTTGGGATTCAGGTGAGTGTTCCAGGTAATAGGTCTAAAAGCACTAAGTCGAGTGCTTCAGGTAGAAGGAACAATATGCACAAAAGCCCTGAGAGGAACATTCAAGAAAAGCATAGTGGGAAACAGCATGGACTTTGAAATCAGAATGCACAAATTTAATCCCAGCGCTGCCCCTTACTAGCAGTGTGACCTGGGGCAAGTTATATTTAACCTCTCTACTTCAATTATCTGTAAGATGGGGCAATAACAATACCTATGTCATGAGAAATAATAACACCTACCTTAATAAGCATTAAATGAGAATAATTATAAAGCATTTAAAACTGACACAAACTAAAAGTGCTACATATAAAATATAAATTGATGCAAGGTTAGTATAGGTAGGAAGTAGAGGTCTCAAAGTGTGGTCTGTGGACCCCTGAAAGTATGTAAATTCAAAACTATTATTTTCAAAATAATAGTTAAGTGCTACCTTTTTCATTGTCATGACATTTGCACTGATGTTGCAAAAGTAAAAGTGGTAAAACTGCTCATGTCTTAGCATGAACCAGGACAATGACACCAAACTTACTAGTAGTTATTGTGTTCTTTACACCATGTACTTTGCTAGTAGTTATTGTGTTCTTTCCACCGTGTACTCTTGGTTAAAAAAAAAAAAGGCCAGTTTCATGTAAAGATGTCTGAGTAAACAGTATTATTGCTATTATTTTTAAATCCTCACCCGAGGACATGCTTAGAGAAAGGGAGGGAGAGAAAAACACAGATCTGTTGCCTTCTGTATGCTCCCTGACTGGAGATCAAACTTGCAACACAGGTACGTGCTCTGACCAGGAATCAAACCAGCAACCTTTTGGTGCACAAGACAATGCTCAACCAATTGAACCACTCCCGCCAGGCAACAGTAAACATTAATTTTAGAAAACTTCAAATCTTGAGAACATGCCTTTTTAATGTTCTGGATTGATGAAATAGGAAATATCCATACAGCAATTCTGGTCATATCACAGTATGACAGTTGTCTTGAAGTTGTCCCGAGATAGTCTGAGTTGTGAGCTGAACTAGCCACTTTCTTCATGGACCACATTTTTTCTTGGAAGAACTGACAGACAAATTATGTTACCTGTGTTGGATATTTGACAGATATTTTCTTAAAAAAGAACAACGTGATCCTGTCACTTCAAGAAAAATTTGAGCTTTCAGGAAAAAAATCAGAATTTTGAAAAACTTTTAACTACCATTGATAGCCTGATAGCTAGTCCGGGGCCCGACAGCTGGTCTTCCTAATACTTAAAAGACTTTTCTGACAAGGTCAATGGTGGTATTAAAAATTGTTATTTAAAAAAAATTATTAATTTTAGAGAAAGGGAAAGAGAAACATCAATTTGTTGTTCCACTTATTTACGCATTTACTGGCTGATTCCTGTACGTGCCCTGGCCGGGGATCAAACCCACATTTTTTTTTTTTTTTAAATATATCTTTATTGATTTCAGAGAGAGGAAGGGAGAGGGAGAGAAAGAGATAGAAACATCAATGATGAGAGAGTCATTGATCAGCTGCAGCCCACAAGCTGGGCATGTGCCCTGACCGGGAATTGAACCCCAATCTCCTGGATCCTAGGTCGATGCTCAACCGCTGAGCCACACCCGGCTGGGACAAACCCACAATCTTGGCGTATCCAGACGATGCTCTAACCAACTGAGCTACCTGGCCAGGGGTGTTCTTTTTTTAATATTGTATAATGTAACATGTCAATATTTGGAAGATCTGCATAACTCAGTGAACCAATATTTTCCAAAATATCAATAGATTTTAATATAAGAGTATGAAAAATCTATGGGTATGGTTTCAGATGCCACACTGTTAACTTGCTTTAAGAAACTACCACTTGCTCAGTTTTGGTGTAGTATCAGAACAGCCATAAGTGTCAAAAGGCTATAAAGCACTCCCTTTCCAACTATATATCGGTATGAGGCTGGATTTTCTTTTTCTTTACTATTTTTTTAATCCTCACAAAGGATACGTTTTTATTGACTTTAGAGAGAAAGAGAGAAACATAGAATAGTTGCCTCCCATACACCCCCAACCGGGGATCGAACCCAAACCTTTTTTGTGTGTGCGTGTGTATGGGATGATGCTCTAATTGACTGAGCCACCCAGCCAGGGCTGGATTTTCTTCATACAGGTCAACCCAAGTAACACATCACAACAAATTGCATTCAGAAGCAAATGTGACAACATAGCTGTCTTCTATTAAGCCATACATTAAAGAGATCTGTGAAAATGTAAAACAATGCCATTCTTCTCAATTAACATTTTGTTGTTGCAGAAGATAGCTGCTTTTATAAAAATTGCTATTTGTATTAGCAGGTGATGGATGTATAACTATTATTTTAAATGATCTAATAGTTTAAAATCTTTCTCAGTTTTAATTTCTAATCCAGTAAGTATTGGTAGATGTAACTCATAAACAAAAGCTCTTTAGGGTCCTCAATAATTTTTGAAGTTATATTAGGTCCTATGTTGCCAAAACACTGAAGAACTGCTAAAATCGAGTAAAAAAACACAGGGAGAATAGGTGTAAAATAAAGTTGGAATAACAAGAAAGAGACAGATTTTGCAAGACATTGAAGGCGTTAAAGATTTTGGTTGTTAAGAGCAATAGGAAGCCATTGAAATGTTTTACGCAAAAAGGTGCTATCATTAGATTTGTATTTTGAAAACATCACTTTCATGATATAAAGAATGGAGAGTACATGGAGGCAAAGGGGGAATCAGGGAGATTATCACTACAGTCCAGCAAATGAAAGGGAGATAGAAAGGTATGTTAACAATGAAGAAATATTCAGAATATAATCAGATAAATACAATAAAGATTTGGATAAAGGAGAGAGAGGGAAACGTAAAGACTGTTCGTAGATTTATGGCTTGTAAAATTTGGTAAGACAGTGAGTGTCACTGAGACAATTACTGGAAAAAGATCCTATTAGGGGCTGGAGAATTTGGACATATATCAGGCATTCAGTTTTAAATATGCTGTATTTGAAATATCTTTGATATAAGCAAAAGGAGACATCAAACAGTTACACAAATGTTCAGAACAGGAGCCCCAAGGAGTGGTCTAGGATGGAAACACAAATTTAGGATTCATCTAGATAACCAATGATAATCTAGTTATGAAAAAACATGAGACTGCTGAAAAAGATAGGAAAGGCTGCAGAAAGTGACCAGTTGGACAAATCTGGCCCTCAGACAATTATTTGTTTGGCCCACACTGTTTATACAAAGTTTTTAGATTAGTTGCCAACAGTTAAAAATAGGATGATTTCACATAAAATTCAAACTTTGGGTTTCTCTTAGAAAATTCCCCCCCAAAACTGATGCATACTGAATGACAACCATTTAGAGCAGAGGCTGGCAACTACAGCCCACTGCCTATTTTTCTAAATAAAGTTTTATTGGAGCACAATCATACCCATTCATTTATAAACTGCCTATGATTGTTTTCATACTACCAAGGCAGACTGAGTGGTTGTAGCAGAGGCCATATGTCCCACAAATCCTAAATTATTTACCATCTAGCCCCTTGCATAAAAAGTTTGCCAACCTCTGAGCTAAAGCTAATGGAATAATCGCTACCCTTTACAGCAAATGGTCTTCAGTCTGCTTGCTTCACTCAGGTATATCACCACCTGGCCCATGTAGGCACTCGGGTTTACGATCCCAGATATATAGAGGAAAGGGAGATTCAACCCAAACACTGAGCCATTTAAACATTTAATTGTTCAGAAAAGATTCTAAGATACAATCAGAGAAGTAGAGGCAATTACACATGAATTAAAGATTTAAAGGATAAATTAAAAGACAAATACATTAGAAGAGAATAGAAGCAAATATTTCTGTAATTTTGGAGTGAGAAAGGACTTTCTAAGCACTAATTAAAACACAGAAAATAGAAGATTGTACATTAAAAACCACAGGCAAAAAAATAAAACAGTACATTAAAAACAAAAAGGCAAAAACTAAAACAACAACAACTGTACTATAACAAAGAATATTTCATATATGAAGAGTTCTTAAGAATATGGCAATATCTCCCACCGAAAAAAAAAGGAGAATGGAGGTGAATAGGCAAATAACAAAAATGAGCAGGCCTACAAGGTAAAACAGACATATCCACATCACAGGGGAAGGTTTTAAAACTCCCCAAATGGTCAATAAAAGAATATTAAGATTACAGATCCTGTAACACAAAAACCCACACCTGAAACCTATATGTTCATATGAACCATTGTCACCCCAATACATTTTATAAAAAAATAATAAAAAGATATCCCAATTTAAAAAAAAAAAAGAAAGAAAAAAGAAAACAATATTAAGGAAAGATTTTCTTTATGAGATATACATACACATACATATAGTAATTAAAACAGTTTGTTACCGGAACACAGATAGACAAGTAAACCAGAGAACTTATGATAGACCCAAGAATACATGGGACCTGGGTTTACCAGAGTTACCATTACAAATCAGTGGCAAAAGATAAGATTTTTCAATAAATAATGTTGGACTATTGGCTTTAAGCATAAAAAAAGATAAAATTCGTCCCCTATTTCACACCATGTAAAAAAACAAACTTGTAAAACAAAACTTGAATATTTTAGAATAAAGTACAGATTATCTTTGATAATGGAATAAGGAATATAATTCATAAAAAGCACAAAATACTGAAAAAATTAATAAATTTGGTAATACTAAAAATTTAATATTTTATATGCATAAGACAGGATAAAGTAAAACAAGCCACAGACTAAAGAACTTTTTCTCTCACTGATTTATAATGGTATTTCTGTCATGTATTAGTACTTAAAATTATACATAAAGAACCCCAACAAATAGAAAAGATGTCAATGGCCCAATTTCAAAAAATGGGCAAAGGACATCAACAGGTAATTTATAAAAGAAGAAAACTAAATAGCTAATACCCATACAAAATACTCACTCTCTCTCACAATCAGAGAAATGTAAATTAAAAATTGTGAAATACCATTTCATACTCATCAAATTGACAATTGCTAAATCTAATAGTGTCAACTGCTGGCCAGGATGGTGGTGGGATCCTAGCAATTCCTAATAAAGTGAAACGTGATATCTTAAGACCAGCAATTCTTATTTTGGTTATCTACCTGAAGATAGTTACTACTCTCAAGATGAACATGGGGAGTCAATAAAGGAATGATCACTGCAATTCTCTTAGTAATGGCAAAGAAGTAAAAATAAATTAGTTTATTCATACAATGGACTTACTCCATAGTAGTTAAAGTGAATAAACAGAATATATTTCATATATAGTAACACGGGTTAATATCAAAATATAATGTAAAGTTTAAAAAAATGGGTTATAAAAGTATAATACTATATATATATTTTGTACATATTTATATATATGTACATACATTCACACACACACACACACGCTAGGACATTTCACACCAATTGCACAAATTGGTTATTTCTAGAGAGAAAAAGAATAAAAGGACTTTAACTAAACCTGTAATTTTTTTTTATTTCTTAAAAAGTAAAAGATACCACACACTGCCCTAGCTAGTTTGGCTCAGTGATTAGAGCATCGGCCCATGGACTGAAGAGTCCTGGGTTTGATTCTGGCCAAGGGCACATAGCTCAGTTGTAGGCCTGATGCCCAGCCTCAGTCAGGGTGCATGCAGGAGGCAACCACTCGATGTCTTTCTCTCACATTGATGTTTCTCTCTCTCCTCATCCTCTCCCTCCCCCTTTCACTCTCTCTGAAAAGCAATGGAAAAATATCCTCAGGTGAGGATTAAAAAAAAAAAAAAAGACCTATAAGAATGGCTAAAATTAAGATAACAGACAATATTAAGTGTTAGTGAGGATGCAGAGCAACTAGAATGCACATACTCTGCTAGTAGGAATGTAATTGGTACAATACTTTGGAAACTTTTTTTTTTAATCCTCACATGAGAATATGCTTTTCATCAATTCTAGAGAGAGAGGAGAGAGGGAGAGAAAGAAAGACGGAAACATCAATGTGAGAGAGAAACACTGATCGGTTGCCTTTCATATGCACCCTGACTGGGAACTGAACCTGCAACCATTTGGTGCTCAAGACAATGCTCTAGCCAATTGAGCCATACCAGCCAGCGCACTTTGGAAACCTTTTGACAATATCTATTTAAAGTGAACGTGGAACTACCCTCTGACCCAGAAATTCTACTTAATGTATATATCCAACAGAAATGCATATATGTGTTCATCAAAAGACAGAATGTACATAGCAGCACTACTCATATAGCTAAAAACTGGAACTACCCACATGCCCATCTCAGGAGAATGGATAAACTGGTATGACACAATGAAAGACTGTATAACATGAATGTATCTCTCAGTAATTTCAGTGAAGGAAGCCAGGCACAAGAGTACATAGAATATGATTCTGTTTATATAAAGTTAAAAAACAGTCAAAATGAATCTGTGGTATTAGAAATCAGGATAAGATTACTCTAGTAAAGAGGGAGGTGCCTTAAAGAGAGCACAAAAGTGCTTCTAGGGGTGCTCATGCTAAGGTTGTTTCTTAATTTGGGAGCTGGTTACATGGATGTGTTCAATTTGTGAAAATTCATAGACCTATACAGTTATATTTTATATTAAAAAAAAGGAAGAAAAAGAGGCAAATAAAGCAAAATATTAGCACATTTGATTTTTTTCTTGACTTTTGTATATATTTAAATTGCTATATAATTAAAATATTAAAAAAATAATAGCATATAGGTACTTCTAATAGTCTTTCTTAAGCACTGAAAAATGCCAATTCACTGTCCTGAGGGACTATTATTTCTGAAGACTCCCATCTATCTGACTCACCTGAAGAGCTGCTTTTGGGGACTTTTCTCTCAAGCATCCATGGTTCCTTTCCATTCTCCAAACTGTAGTTCTCAGGCTTGGAAACTGGAAGCCCTGCTCATTAAAAATTTTAAAAAAAGAAAGAAATAGGACTTAGCTATTTGTGATGGGCACAAACATCTATCCCAGAGCATAGTGTCAAACCTGTGATCTACAGAGAGGACAGAAATTACAGAAGATCTAGAATGTAGGATGGACCTTTACATGAAGCTTTAAGTATTTGTAGCAGGCACCTGGGCCTGGTAACGAGTTTATATGCACTTGAAAACACAAATGTTTGTGCCTGTCAAAAAAGAAGAGAACTTCTTTTTTTACTGAGGAAAGAACTTCTTTTTCTCTTCTAGGGAGATGCTGCAGATCAATTCTTAGCTTAGGGAAGAAGTTGGAGAAGATGGGACCCCAGGGGCAGCACTACACGTTGTAACTGGTAACTAGAATTTTTGTCTCTGTTTCTCCTTTCTTCCTTCTTTAGTTACTAGAACCCACTTCTTAGGGAATTTATTACATGAGGTCTGGGAGGGACTAACATAGTTCTTCCCACACCCATACAAACACATATACGCGTATGTGTGAGTGCATGCACATACACACACAGGTGGGCACAGGGTCCAAACTGCCAAGAGTACCCTATCTCCATGGCTCTAGTAGTTTCACTGATCAACATGGGACCCTATTGCCGAAACTCTCAGGATAGAAGCACTACTTTTTTCCTTAACTCTCTAATTGGAAGAATAATATAATCTGAGAGTTGCCAACGGCCATCTCTGCCACATGGGGGGATCCTAAGAATAAAGTCAATACAGGGCAAAGCCAAAACATATGATTAAAAAAAAGAAAAGAAACTCCTGATTATATATTTGATTCTCTGAATCAAGATCCCCCTTCCACCCCTTGGGAATGGAATCTAACACCTAAACTCTATCTAGACCTATCTCTCCTAATTAACAGAAGCCTTCATCTTCGAGGGATGGGCTCCAACGCTGTTACCTGAGGACAGTGGTGGAAACCCAGTGCAGCTGGGAGAAGGGGCTGGAAAATAAAAGAAATATTTACCCATGGAGGAAGGGTAGGGATACAGACCAGGCCCAGCATTATGAGTTAGGGAAGACAGAAATATTTATAAAGTTCACACCTTCTAATCTAGGTTCACAATGTCCAGCTAAGAGTGAGCTTAATCAGATAAAAAACACCCCATCTTTTCCCACCTCCCATCAACATGCTAATAGGTTAACACTTTTGCAGAAAGACAGTAACTAACTGAAATTAACGCCATAAAACCACATTTTGAGGGCACAGATGAGCAATAACACTTGGGCTACAGTACTTGACAGAAGCAAACATATGATGTACTACTCATATCCACCTTCATGATGTTTTCAAATCATGGTGTGGGCAGTAGAGTATGAGTAAAAAGCAAAAGTCTTACAGTTGCTCAGAGACTGCAATTTAGTTTTATCAGACGACTATTATTTAAGAAACACAACCAGCCCGGGCGGGCGTGGCTCAGCGGTTGAGCATCGACCTAGAATCCAGGAGATTGGGGTTCGATTCCTGGTCAGACCACATGACCAGGTTGCGGACTAGGCAGCCGATCAATGACTCTCTCATCATTGATGTTTCTATCTCTCTCTCCCCCTCCTTTCCTCTCTGAAATCAATAAAGATATGTTTAAAAAAACACACACAAAAAAACCCCATAACCAATAGAGAGAGTAACTATATAGAAGCACAAACACCATTCAACCTTTTTGAGTCCTGAGCTGTGCATATGAAAAGCACAACTTTATGTTACCCAGTAGACCACATAGCTAAGGGGACAAAAAGCAGAGGAGAGATGTTAGAAACTACAGATTTCTAGAAAGTGAGGTTGTACTTTATCCCATATCAATATGGACAAGCTGTCAGTGTGGGCTTTTAGTTAAAAACCCGTAAGGCCACAAACTTCAAAGAAGAGAAATACCTTAAATGTAATTTCCCCTCCCTAGGGGTAAGCCTTGCAGCATAGGAGTAAAGGAAAAACTAAAACAACCATCTGAAAAACAAGCCAGGCAAGATCAACTGTTACTCAATTCCAGAAGATAGTCAGGAAAAGGTTATCTCCCTTTAAAAAATAGATACATTTATTTAACTTACGATAAAGGTTTAAGAAAAAAAAAAAAAAAAAAAGGTTTCCCCCCTTTAAGCTAGTGTAAATTAGGATTCTGTCACTTGAATCCAAAGAATCCTAATACAAAACAAGCATAGACAGTTCACCAAGAACCTAGAACAGAGAGATTTTTCTCTGGGTCCAAAGGGATTCACACTTTGACTCCTGAATGGCAAAGTGAAGGCTTTGTTAAGCTATTTCACTTTCAATAAGGTAGTGAGGTCCCGTAAGCAGGCTGCAGAGTCACAATGAGAAGTCATCCTTACAAAGTGAGACCAGGTTCCTATAGTTCTCCAGCATCACGTCCCTTTGTTCAGGATCCAGCTTCCCCCACTCCTCTGGGGTAAAGTCCATGGCCACATCCTTGAACGTCACGGGTGCCTAAGACACAAAACAAACTTTTGTTTGCCATCTTTCACTTGACAGCATCCCTTTCACCCCCCAGTTGCTGGTGTGCTGGAGCAGAGGGATTGAATACATTCAAAAGGGAAAAATGACAGTGATGACAAGTGTTCCAATAGTGTTCAGATTCTAAATAGCCTATGTAAAGTCACTGGGTACCAGTTATGTGCCAAGCATGCTGTGCTAGGTTCAGTATGAGAACCAAAAGAAATACAACCATGGTTTCTCCATTGAGAGACTATAATTTTTCTGGGGAATAGAGTTAAAACATGAACCAATGAGTAAACAATGGAGTTTGGCAAAGTAAACAAAATACAGGCAGGGTAGGGAAAAAAGGCAAATCTACACAACCCTCCTTGCTAGTCCTCAATAAAAGCTTGAAGAATCAATCTAGCCAATAAGAAGATGAGTTGAAATACAGACCTTGTGAATGGAGAAGTCATGGAATGAAAAGACTGGCAGTAAGCACCAAATCCAATTAGTGTGGAATTAATGCAAGGAACAAGCATTAACTGAAAAATGATGGCGACAAACTGATCAAGTGTATAGGTATAACTCATACATGTTTATGTGTAAATACCACAGAATTAGGTTTCTATAAGACAAAAAAATACAAAGGTGTAAGGAGGTAATACATGCCTTTTTATTTATTTATTTTTTAAAAAATATGAAGTAGTTTATTTTTATATTTTATTCATTCTTAGAGAGGGAGGAAGGGAAAGATAGGGAGGAAGGGAAAGAGAGACAGAGAGAAACATTGATGTGCAAGAGATACATTGATTGGCTGCCTCCTTAAGGGGGGTTGAATCCACAACCTAAGTATGTGCCCTGACGGGGAACTGAACCCGTGACCTTTGGGTGCATGAGACGACACTCCAACCGAGCAACACGACACTCCAACCGAGCAACACCAGCCAGGGCATTACATGCCTTTTAAAATAAAACCACTGAGAATGGGAATAACATTCCAAGGTTGTTGAAATAAATTATATCAAATTCTGTAACTGGCTAGAAAACACTTTCTATTTAAACATTCATGAAACATTTGCAAAAGTAACGAAGTAAATTTAAATAAATTCCAAAGCATAAACAGAACAGAGCAATAACTGATAATTGGAAAAAAAAAAAAATCAGAATATCAAAATAATAAAATAAAATGCAAAACCAATGCCAAATTGCTAAAACTGTACTCAGAGGTAATTTCATAGCTTTAAACACTTCCATTTCATTAAAAAATAACGTAAATAAATGAACAAAGCATACAGGTCAAGTTAGAAAGAACAACAAACTAAAAAAAACAGGAAGGATTACAGGATAAAAGCAGAAATTAAGAAGGGACAAGAAAAACAGGAAAGCTGGGAAACCTAAATAAGGTCAATAGGTTACAGTACTGTATTAGTGCTAGTTTCCTGATTTTGGAAAGTAAAAATAAAGTGAGGTAAAATGCCAACTTTCAGAGAATATGAATGGAGAGTACATAAGAAATCTTTCTACCATTTACAACATTTCTTTAAGTCTTAAAGTATTTTAAAATAGTTTCCAAAAATGGACATAATCTGAGACTTAAAAAAACAAGAATCGCCCTTGGAAAATAAAATGTAAATCACTAAGTAGCCACTAAGTAGACAAGAGATTTTGAGGAAAAATGACCGTGCTCTTACAATCTGCATATCCACAGCTAAAATGACACTCAATGGGAATAAACTTCCAGACCATTAGAAGAAAAAAACCAGGACAAAACTGCAAACCATTGCACAACAGGCAGAAAACAACACAAAAGAAACAAAGAAAGCATAGTAAACAGAATTATAAAAACCACATGGCAAAAAAATTTGAAACATACAAGTAATCATATTAATGTGAATGAGATAATTTCCCTTTAAAAAGGGGGGGAGGGAGCCTAATTCTGCTTCCACAAAGACACTCCTAAAAACACCCCAAAGTTGGGGATGGGAGGTGGGAGAATTTGAAGGAAACAGCACATGTCCGAACATAGTGCAAGTTGAACAAAAGCATATAGGAAAATATGCATCAAACTGTTATCCTCAGTAGGGAGCAGTAGGGGACTGAGTTTGGTGGGGGAAGTGATATTACTTTCACAATTACATGTTCACGTTCTGTTCACCTGGTTACAACCACCAAGGATTAAAACATTAATATTTTAAAAAAATCTAACAAAGACATAAATCAATCCAGGCTAATTCTAATAAGATGGCCATAAATTTCGCAACACACCAAATCTAACGCAATGCAAAAAGGAGGAAAGTTTTTAAAAATGTCCATAAAAGGTTCAATCTACCCCGAAGCTCTAACAGTCGAGTCTAACAGCAGTGTTCCTCTGGCTGCTGAGCCTGCCGCTGTAGTTAAGGTAGTATTAATTCCACCTCTGATTCATGGGCGGTATATGTGTTTCCATGTGTGTGGAGGTATATTCCACAGGTCTGCCCAATCTGAGAGTTACATTCAGATCTGGACAATAACTGGCCCAAGGATGGGGCTAATACCCGTTAAAGAGTTAATCCCTGGACTTCTGGAATGACTGGGAGGGAGGCGGCCCTTTCTGGTCTTCCAGGTGGGAAGGGGCCAGGGCTAAGAGAAAAATGTGCTTGGGAGGAAAACCCACACAGAGAAGAAAAGGGCAGTGAAATGGAGAAAACAGGTTCTAATGTTACTACTTGAGCTCTATTTCTAGTCAGACCTGGATTTTTCAGTTGTTAGTCAATAAACACCTTGTTGCTTATGTCAGTTTGAGTTGAGCTTTTTTTTATCAGCTGCAACTTAAGTTTCTAGACTAGTAAAGTTTTCAAAACCAAGGTAAGGCAGCTGAGAAACCAATGAAGACATGGAAGTATATAAGGATCCTGAGAAGTCACTTTTACAAAGGGTACCAATGTGCACTATGGGCTTTTTACACTTGGGATCACAGTAGCAAAGAAAAAGGCTAATTCAGGAATCTTTGGGTGGTGGCATGCCACACACATCACAGAGAGCTCTTTTCTCTTACCCAACTTTTGAAATAAAAATTTCAAATATACAAAAAAGTTGAAAGACTAGTACACAAATCACCCATATAGTACAACCACCACATAAATTCAACAATTCTTAATACTTGCCCTTGTAGGATAGATTGGAAAGTAAGCTGCTTCACTTCTAAACTTGCCACTCATCACCTTGGAAGGCTGGATTTGAACTCTAAATGAAGCCTTCCATACGTTCTCCTTTTCAAGCGCTCCTTTGAACTTTTGAGTACGTATTATTTTCATAATTCACTCAGCACTAAAGATGCTTTCTTAAATTCTTACTTAACAGTCAAATGTATGTTGTTTCCCCTACAGAAAAATAAATTTTAAGGTATGCCCCACATTTTCTTTTAAAAGTTTCCTAAATTGCCAAGCTCAGAAATTTGCATACAAGGAAGAGTAATACTCCTTACATGCCTGTTGACTGACAATAAATACTAGATGCAGAAGACACTATGGATTAGTAGAAAACATTTTCTACTGAGTCCATTAGCCCCCTAGTAGTCTTAGAATTAGAATTCAGCTCTCCAGATGGGCTCTAATAGACAAAGAAAAACCATATCGAAAAGAAGGGGGTGCGTTTGTACTCTGAGAAATAAGGTGGAATTTCAATAACCAGTAGAAACTCACACTCACCTGGGATCTGGCAGTGAGGCGCAGAGCTGCCACTTCTCCATTTCCTGTGCTCCTTTCTTGGGAAAACAAAGAATCCTGGGAAGACATAGCTAAGGGCAAGAAAGCAGTAATTATGGGATCTAAACCCGTCTTGCGATTCAAATTTACAAGACAAAATCCCTCCACCATACTAATGATGCTCCCCACAAACACTGCAACTGAAGGGAGCCCAACTCCTGATCCTAGGATCACGGAGAATGTGCAGGAATGCTGCTACTTGAGGGCTTAAATTCATTGTTGCTATAATCATAACACCTACTGGTAGGTGGCACTCTGTAATCTAGAAATTAGAATAAGTCAGTTTATTTCCAAGCTTAATGTACATTAAATTAAGAAAACTAGGCCCAGGTCTCAAAAATCACCCTGCAAGCTTATTTTAAACATAGATTACTGGATCCCACTTCCAAATAATTATTAGTTGAGTCTGAGGTGCAATCTAGAAATCTAATAAGCACCCAGGGGTAATTCTGACATGAGGTCACAGACCAAACTTCAGGAAAAACCGGGTTAGTCCGTTACTGACTTCTATCCCTGTTTTCTACTACGCAAAACAAAAATATATGCGCTACTGAAATCGTAAGATTATTGTGCAAAGTGAAATAACAGATGTGGGGAAATATTTTTTTTTGCCAGCCAAAAAGCTAAATTCTCAGACTCACTGATAGTTTGGTAAAAAGAACGTGAGAGAAAAAGTACCTGAGGCTCGCCCGTGCCTTAGAAGCTCACATCTGGCCCCCGTTTTGGGGCGACTCTGAAGGTTCCACGGTGCTCCCACGCCAAGCCCCCCGCTCACTTCAGGAGCCCAGCCACGTCCCAGACAAAGGAGGCTGGCGGGGCCGCCCGCCCAGGGCCACCTCCCGAGGCGGCCGCTCTCTCCTCCGCAGAAGGCACGCGCCCTTCCGTCCACAACACTTCACTTCAGCCACCCTCACCTCTCCTCTCGGGCGTTCCGGCCAAATCCCGCTCCATCGTCACCAGTCCGCCGGCTTCTGAAGATTCCGATCCCGCTCCTCAGTTTGGACCGCTCCGCACGCCACAGAGGGGCCCGGCCCCCTCCCGCCTCCCCTCGGGGTTCCGCTGAAGGCTGCGGTCAGGTCCGGCCCCGCGTCGGCCTCGGCCCTAGGATGCCGGCACCGGGAAGCCCGGCACAGGATCCCGGAGACTGGGTCCTCAGGTGCCCGCCCCTGCCGCCGGGAG